ATGATACATCTACAATTCAATCGCTACACCTAAGGCTTTGGGAACAGAGGGCAGAAAGAATATTAATGCATCACACAACTCTCACCTGCACAACAGATTATTTACCCAGAAAAACACAATGGACCAAAGCGCAGAGAATAAGTGACTGCAGAGTTTGTGTCCCTGGGTAGGACACCTATATCAAACCTCTGGCATCCAGGGCTCAGGGACCATCATTGTAGGAGAGGGGACAGAAAGACTGTAAGAGCGAGGGGTGGTAGATGACCATAATTCGGAAACAGAGTTTTCCAGACAGCTGGGAAGTTACTCCTGCGAACTTACAGCAATGGTAACAGGATGTACAAGATCCAAGCAAGTTCAAACTAGAGAAAAACCCAGCATAGAAGTGGGGAAATGAGTAAGAAGTCCCAATCTTAACTGAGAAACTATTGGCCACCAATGACTACTGGAAGAGGGAGAGTTGGTTTTCGAGTGAGTGACAATAGATTGGCTGCCCAGGCTCCAGTGAATGGACTTACATCAAGGGACATTTGGAGACAGAAACTTGGCTCGATAGGCCCTAACACACATGACAGAATGCATGAAAACCAGTGGGGGAGGGGGTAACTGAGGGGTGCAGATGGAGAGGGGGGGTTCTAAATATGATCAAGATGAAATTCACAAAAAAATCAACCAACCAAAAATGAATAAAATAATTGGAGAAACTAACAAGGTATATTTTCAATAACTCACATCATATGGACAAAACCAAGTGGGGTTATAAATGTTATTATCACGAGTACAGTTTCAAACTGAGTGAGGTGGTATGCACCCTTAGTTCCAGCACTTGGGAGGCAAAGGCAGGTGGATCTCTGTAAAATTGAGGCCAATCTGGTCTACATAGTGAGTTCCAGGCAAACTGGGACTAGGGAGATCCTGTTTAAATTATATATATATATATATATGGATATATTACATATACACATGTGCATATATTAGGTTTTTTTTTCAACTGAAAAAATATTATATATTTATCATACCAAATACACATATGACTTTTACAATTAATGAAGGTGTTAGTGTTAAAAAGTTAAAATAACTATTTCTGAATTAAAAGAAAATACAAGACATCAACTATGCCCAATATGTATCTCCTTTTATTTGGAGAATTAATATGGATTCATTAGACGCAAGGTATTACTCTCTTCTTGAAAAGTTTTGAATGTGCAACTGAGTCTGATTTGGTGCCTTGATAAAGTATTTCAAGCTTTATCAAGTATTTCATGTAGTGTGCTGAACATGCCTTGTGTCCCAGGCCTCTGCCTGCTGTGGGGAGAAGCAGCGTGATGAAA